CAGGAGGGAGGAGGAGAGAGGAGGCGGGAGGAGGGAGGGGGCAGGAGGGATGAGGGAGGAGACGGGATGGAGAAGGAAGGGGGGACGGACAAGCTGGGTGCGCTCGCGTGATATCTGACGTCCTACCCCTCCCTCCCATCCCTTACTATGGCGTAGATATCCTCTCTATTCGCATAGTCGGACGTCGTAGCATGGCATACCATTACGTGGCATAGCATGGTGTTGAAGATCAACGCGTGGCATGACATAGCATGGCTACTGCGGCCCTAAAAATCAACAAACCGACACCGAATGTGTAATCCGCCGACCCTTTGGGGTTCATCGGCGTGTGAGATGCCTCCCCCTCCCCAAACCCCTCCCCAGGGAGCCGGATTCGGTCGACTTGGAGGGGGGGGTCTATCCGAGTCGCCCAGGGGGGGTCCTTTGCTCCAGAAATTCTACCAGGGGGGCATCTAGGGCTTGAAAACGGGCTACGAGGGCCCCAACAGACTTCCAAGGCGGTCCAAGAAGGCCCCGAGTCGCCGAAACATCCTCCCAAAACGCCCAAGATGGCCTCCAGACGGCCCAAGGTGCCTCCAAGACGCCCCAAGAGGCGTCTAAGAGACCTCCCACGAGGGCCCCAAGAGGCCACCATCGTTGATTTGCATACGTTTGTTCCAAACATGTTGTTGGCGTTCTCTCCTTTTCGGGCGCCCAGGCCCAACGCTCCACGACGGCCCCAGAGGCTCTCAAGACCGCCTCAAGGTGGCCCAACAAGCCCCCGAGAAGGCAATACCGCCCAAGAGGGCCCGAACACGAGTCAAGAGGGCCTCAAGATAGCCCAGGCGGCATCCAAGAGGGAACCAATAAGGGGACCACGAACCGAAAATTCTAGCTCCCCGCCCCAAGAGGCTCCCGGGATGGCCCAAGAGGCCTCAAGGGGCTCCACGAGGCCCCCACGAGGCCCCCAACAGCCCCAAAAGAGGCCCCAAGAGGCGCCTCCAAGACACCCCAAGAGGCTTCGACGAGACCTCCCACGAGGGCCCCAAGAGGTCAAACTCATTCATGTTTAGGTATTCATGACAAGGTTGTTGGCTTTCTCGCCTTTTCGGGCTTCCGACGCTCCACGACGGCCCCAGAGGCCCCAAAACCACCTTAGAACAGCCCGTCAGGCCCCCGAGAAGCTCCCACGACGGCCCAAGAGGGCCCGAACACGGGTGAAGAGGGCATCAAGACAGCCCAGGAGGCCTCCAAGAGGGCCCCAAGAGGGGACCAATAAGGGGACCACGGACCGAAAATTCTAGCTCCCCGCCCCAAGAGGCTCCCGGGATGGCCCAAGAGGCCTCAAGGGGCTCCACGAGGCCCCCACGAGGCCCCCAACAGCCCCAAAAGAGGCCCCAAGAGGCGCCTCCAAGACACCCCAAGAGGCTTCGACGAGACCTCCCACGAGGGCCCCAAGAGGTCAAAATCCTTCACGTTTAAATATGTATTTCAAGGTGTTTGGCTTTCTCACCTTTTCGGGCTTCCGACGCCCCACGACGGCCAGAAAAGGCACAAAAACTGATGTTCCGTAGGTTCTCGAAGGAGTTTGACATTTGCTTCGTTTCGGCCTTCCGACGGCCCGATACTGCCCAGAGCCCCCAAAGATCGCCCAAAGATCGCCCAAGAGGCCTCCAAGATGGCCCCAGAACGGCTCAAGAGGCCCCCAAGACGACCCTAAGAGGCCCCCAAGACGACCCAGGAGGCTCTTAAGACGCCCAAGATGGCCTCCAAGACGGCCCTGGAGCATTCCAAGAGGGCCCCAAGTCGGCCCAGAGAGGCCCCCCAAACGGCTTCCGACGGCGTCGGACGGGCCAGGGGCCCACCAAGAGACGGCCGAAGATGGCACTAAGATGGCCCAAGACGGCCCAAGAGGCCTCCAAGAGGGCCTCCAGGAGGGTCCGAAAAGGCCAAAATCATTGAAGTCCCATAAGATGTTGAAGAATTATGGCGTTTGATTTTTTCCGGCCTTCCGACGGCCCGAGACGGCCCAAGTGCCCCCAAAGATCTCCCAAGAGGCCCAAGAGGGCCCCAAGAGGCCCCCAAGACGGCCGAAGAGGCCTCCAAGACGCTCAAGATGGACGAGCCCTCCAAGACGTCCTCCAAGAAGGCCCGAAAGGGTCAACATGGCCTCCATGCGGCCAAGATGACCTTCAAGATGCCACGTGTCCCCCGAAGGCTTTCCAATCCAACTCGGGGAATACATGGTCCGATAGCTTGGCAGGTTTGGCCTCAACGTTCGGCCACATGCGGCGGTGATTCACTGTAAGCGCCTTCGATACAAACATAATTCATGCACCGGTTGAGCTGGGATGGTACGAGTTCATATTAAGGATGGGCGATGGGAGATCGGGTGCGAATGAGGGAGACCAACTGCGGCGTTGTCGTTGGAACCTGTGTCAGTCTTCCTTTTGGACATATACCCCCTGTTCTACCCGACCAACGACAAACCCGGGGCTATGTGGGTATTGCGCGATTCTGGGGGAATCTCACGTTTTGAACTTCCCGACGCTCGTAAAAGACCCGCAAAGCCCCCACGACGGCAGCTGCGACCTCCACGAAGTCTACAGAGGCGCCCAAGACCAACCCCAAAAGAAAACCAGCCAAAACACCCGATCAGACTATACGAGCCCTCGACCCGAAGTACACCACAAGAGATCCGACCAACACCCCCATAAGGCTGACACGAGGCCCGCACAGGTCGGCATCTACTACACCCCCGGGGGAACAGCGGTGCGGCGTAAGCCCGATAATCATTTCCGATGTTGTTGTTTTTTCCGGGGGGGGCATTTTCTAAACCCACCGAAACCCATACCGTGGCACGGCACTGGAAATAATGACGCCAACGCTGCCGCGGGAGACCGATTCGGAACGACCGGAAACGCAAAAACGAGGCCATCGCCGCAGCGGCCTCACGATTCGGAAGGAGTGGCAACACGGAGATGAGGCCAGCATGGCAGCGGGAGCACCGGCGCTTCAGCGGGAGCACAATTCTGAAAAGCATGCCTCGACTGGCACAGGCCCTCCTCCCGCGTCTGCGTCCCCCGCTTCCTCCTCTACCTTATCACCACCATCGTCATCGTTCCCGTCTCGTCCTAGACCCTTTCAATTCTGATAATCATCCTCCTCCTCATCCCCGTCCTCCTCCTCCTCCTCGTCCTCCTCTCCTCGTCATCTTCCTCATCCTGCTCCACCCCCCCTCAACTATTCATATGAATTGTCCATCCTCCTCCTCTTCGTCCTTTTCCCCCTCCTCCTCCTCCTCCTCCTCCACTTCCTCCATCTCCTCCTCCGCCTCCCACCCCCTCCCCCACGCACGCACCATCTCCATGCCGCCTGCTCTCCTCATGCACCTCTCATTCCTCCTTGCACGGGCGCGCATGCCGAATTTCCTCGATGCCCTCGCCGCCGCGCGTGGCAGGAGCGCGTTCTCCGATGGCAAAATCGCGAGGCCGTCAGGGCAACGGCCTTTGGGACAACCTCGCGAGCCGCTGGGGCGCGAGAGCAAGCCGTTGGGACAACCCCGCAAGTACCGAGCTAGTCGCGGCCGCGCTCAGGCGGGAGGCAACACGAAGTCGATCTTTTCCGCGAGCTGCCCCGCCTCAGCCCTGAAGTCCACCGCTCTCTTGTCGAACTCCTCGAGTGCCGTCCGCAGGGACGCAGGCGGCCCGCGCCCCATAAACTCTCGCGCGGGCGGCCGCCGGATCAGCATTTTCCGCACGCGCGTGGCGCGGGAGAACATGACGTAGAGGTGCCACCACCACTCAGGGACCCAACAACGACGACAGTTACCAAGTTTCATTAACCCGCTCGGATTCGAACATGAGGTGCGGGCCCCATAGAGAAGAGGCCCCCGTCTGAGACTTCCTCACAAGGCACTCACAGGCGAGTTTCCCGCTCGAGATTTCCTCAAGATTGAAGCCTCAGGGGCCCCAAAAAAGACAACAAATACAAGGTTTGGGTGGCACGCTCAGATTCGAACATGAGGCGCGGGCCCCATTGAAAGAGGGCTCCCGCCTAAGACTTCCTCGCAATTCACTCACAGACGAAGCCTCCGCTCGAGATTTCCCCAAGAAACAAGCCTCATGGGCCCAAAAATGACGACGGCTACAAGGTTTGGATGAACCGCTCGGATTCAAATATGACGTGCGGGCCCAAAAGAGAAGGGGCTCCCCCCTAAGATTGCCTCACAATTCAATCACAGACGAGGCTCCCGCCTGATACGTCCTCCATGTTCAGGCCTCAGGGGCCCCAAAGTGACGACAGTTACAAGATTCGGATGACCCGCTCGGATTACCAACATGAGATGCGAGCCCCGTAGGCAGGAGGCTCGCGCCTGAGATTTCCTCACAACTCACTCAAAGACGAGGCTCCCACTTGAGACTCCCTAAATATTCGTGATGATGTTCGTGCATGGGGTGTGATGATGATGGTGGTGATGATGATGATGATGATGAACGGTGGTGGAGGTAATGCGGATGATGATGATGATGATGATGATGATGATGATGATGATGATGATGATGATGATGGTGATGGTGATGGTGATGAGTGTGTGATGATGGTTATGTGCTGATGACGATGATGATGATCATGATGCTGATGGGAAGTGCTGGTGAATGATGATGGATTGGTGACGGTGATGGCGAGTAATGAGGATGATGACGATGTTGTTGAATGGTGGCGATGATGATGGCAATGATGATGATGGTGAGGAGGAGGAGGAGGAGGAGGAGGAGGATGTGTGTATGATGATGGTGATGATACTGGTGATGGTGATGATGATGGCGATGATGATGTGGGGTGTTCCTGTTTCTGCGCGGGGGTGTCCAGGGAAAACAGTAGCCCCACTTCACTTAGGATGTTGGGAAAACAAACGAAAACCTAACTCCTGGGAAACCGGTGTGTAATCAAACAGCACGCAAAGGGGGGCCGGACACCTTCCAGACGTCATCAGGGGAGAGATGGGATAGTTTCATATCCTATAATCGTGGAGGGAGAGCAGGAAGAGAGCGGGGCAATGCGGGAGGCGGGAGGCGGGAGACGAGGCCGGCGATGAGGGCATGGACGGGGACGGGGGATGCAGGAGGAGGAGCACGGAGGAGGAGGAGGGATGTGACATGCGGGAGGCGGGCGGCAGGAGAGGAGGAAGACAAGGATGGATGAGGATGGAAGAGGGTGGACAGGGAAGAGGATGGAGGAGGAGGAGGAGGAGGAGGAGGAGGAGGAGGAGGACGGTGGGACAGGACAATCGTGGAGGATGGAGGCCTGTTCTTGCCGCGCGCCACGGCCTTGCCGTCGCTCCTAAGCAGAATGGTGTGACCTCCGCCTGCGGCAACGTGGGTGAAAGTCACGCCTTCGTCGGTGCTCGGAATGTCACACTCTCCTGAGAGGTTGTGAGTCCCTCCTCCTATTCCTTCTCCTTCTCCTCCTCCTGATCCTTGTCCTGCTCCTCCTCATCATCAGTATCAAACTCCTCGCCATCCTTATCGCTTCCCTTCCTCCCCCGTCCCCCTCATCCAACTCATACCCGTCCTTCTCATGTACCCCCTCGTCCTATTCGTCCTACTCGTCCTGCTCCTCCCACTCATGACATTCTTGCCACCCCGCAACATTCCCCTCCTGACCCTCCTCACTCTCCTCGTCCTCCCCCGTCCTCCCCCCGCCCACTTCTTACTGCCCTTGGACACCCTCGCATCCCCAAAATCGCCAACCCACCCACCCAGCTACACCAGCCCACACCACTTACCGAAAGAGCGCTTTTTGCCGCTGCTGGCAGGAGGGCTTCAGCCCCGAAAAACAACTTCTGGGGAAACCAGAACCACCAACCCCCCGAAGAATTATTCGACGGGTTCACTCCAACACCCCTGGCAATGACGACGACCGACAACGACGACGACGACCACCACGACGACGACGACGACGATGCACAACGCACGACGACCGCGACGCCGACGCGGACGCCGACGCCAATGCCGATGCCGACGGCGACGACGACAACGACGCCGAGGGTGCCGCCGACGACGACGACGGCGACGAAAACGACAAAGACGACGACGAGGACGACTACGACGACGACGATCGAGTCCCCGTTGGACGCGGTCACAGCTGGATAGAAGCCGAATGAGATGCAATTGCACCTGGATCGAGCCCTACTACGGTCTTATCAGAGCTGGATCCAGCCCTAGCAAGACTGCATTGAAGATGTATCGAGCCCTAGTGGGATTCACTTAGATCTGAACCTGGCCACAAAAAGATTTGACACTGCCTTTGTAGTTTTCATGTGAGCGTGATAGAACGCAAAGAAAATGTTCGGTTCACCCGCAATTGCAGGATTGTGTGAGAGCTGGATTGGGCCCTAGTAGAATTCTAATAGCACTGGATCGAGCTTCAATCGCATTCTATCAACGCCGGCGCCTGGCGCGGACGCCGGCGACAGTTGCGCCGCCGTCGCCGCTGACACTACCGCCGTCGTCGTCATCGTCGTCGTCGTCCGCGTTCTTGCTGGCGGCGGCGACGTCGTCGTCGTCGTTGCCGAGAGGGGGGCGCGGGCGGAGGAGGGGGGGGGCCTGAAGACCCCTCAGTCAATGCTCCGGGGACGGGTGTCTGGACCCCCCCACACATAGTTTCGATGGGGGGCCCGGGGGGATGATCGGGAATCCCCCCTCGGCTCTTTGCGGAACGGTGGGGGGAAGTAGGGGGGGGGGGCGACTTTCCGTCCCCCCCAAAAGAATTTCTTTGTTTTGGGGGGGGGGTCTCCTGGTTCTGACCCCCCAGAACAACATGTTCCAAACAGGCCAGCGACGGTGGGTCGCGCTCCCCCTACCCACCCACCCAATCCTTGCCTCGCCCCGCCAAGATGTCACAACTCCGCCTCGATGCACCTGCAGGCACTTCGGAAGAGCGGGCTGGGCAGTTTCGCCTGGGACTTCCTCGGAGCTAATAACCCTGAAGCTGGAACGTTAGATTTGATACAACACGAGTAGAGGGCGAGTGGCATTGAAAACGGGGCTCTCGCTCGAGACAGTGTTGAAGCGCGTGGCCAGGTACCAGCTGCAGCGAGAATTCCATACAAATCGGCGCGCAACAACTACATGGAAGGAAAGGGGCTGCTTTTCAAAATTGACCTCTCACTTGAAACGCCCTCGAGTGTTGCAACCACTATTGTCAGAATGTGCGACGGCTGCATGGACGGAATGCAACTCCGATTCAACACCAGGCTCTCGCTGGACACGTCCTTGAACTTCACATTCCTATAGAATGACCCTTCTTATCCCTCGAGGGATGGAGGCGGTTCCTTTTCAGAACGGCGACGCCGCCTCAGCGGCCGCCTCAGTCGCATCCTGCAGCGATCGTGCATAATTGTGGCGGCGCGCGCAGAGGGGACTGGACTCCACACTGGTAGGAGTACTGCAGCATTGTTTGCGCGTCCTGGGCTCACTCGGATCCTCCCCCGCCGCCTCCTCCGAAATGGGGATGATCATCATCACCATCGTCGTCATCACCTCCACCCCCCCAATCCATCCTTGCCCGCCGCCTCCTCCTCCTCCCTCCCTCCTCCCTCCCTCCTCCCTCCCTCCTCCCTCCCTCCTCCCTCCCTCCTCCCTCCCTCCTCCCTCCTCCCTCCCTCCCTCCGCCTTCTCAATTCTTTTGCCTTGTGAATAACTCGTCCGTGTCGCACCCCGTGGCTGGTCGAAAGGGCGGGCCGGGCGTTCGCCTGACACTTCCGTACCACTTATGACCCTGAAGCTTAAACGTGGCTCTCGCCTTATATAGCGCCGCGCGCGCTCGTCTGAAACAAATGCAAGCTTCACGGAATGAGGGCGGGTCGTTTTCAAACTGTGGCTCTCGCCTTAGCGCCTCACACGTTCTTATCAAACATTTGTAAGAGCTTGGCGGGTTAAGGGCGGGTGTTTTTCAGAATATGCTTCTCGCCTGAGCGGCGCGAACGTTGGCTCTAACCAGAACGCCGGAGTTCCACGGGTTCCCATGGTGAACATGCCAAAAAAGGTGTTTGGCAACGATTCAGGATTGTCGAGTACAAAATTTACGCTGATTCGCTCTGTTGAAGTGCCAAGAAGGATGCTCTGGCGCAATTCCAGATCATCGAAACGCAACAATCGCGTTCACTCGTGGCGTTGGCGCCCCGAGAATGCTGTGTGTGTGGGCACGTTTCAGGATCTTCAAGCAATTGTTTCCAAACGGGGCACTTCTTTCAGTGGAAATCATTGTAAAGGCTCATGAAGAGGGAGTTTGGGGGAAGAGCTAATTCCAACATCGTTTATGAGTCTTGGGTCCACACTGGTCCTCCTCCTTCTCCTCCTCCTCGTCCTGGTCCTCGTCCTCATCCTCCTCCTCCTCCTCGTCCTGGTCCTCGTCCTCATCATCCTCCTCGTCGCCCTCCTCCTCATCATCATTATCGTAATCATCATCAACATCATCACCATCATCACCATCATCCTCCTTATCATCATCAGAATCCGAATCATCATCATCATCATCATCATCATCATCATCATCATCATCATCATCATCAGCATCATCATACTCATAGTCATTAGCATCAGCAGCATCATCATCACCAACACCAGCATCATATCATCATCATCATCATCATCATCATCATCATCATCATCATCATCATCATCATCATCATCAGCATCATCATCATCGACCTCCTCCTTCTCCTCCTCCTCTTCCCCCATCAGAATGAAACCCAAGTGTCTCTCCGAGGGGGCGTCTTGGCCAAAACTTCGACACGTACATACCCAACCTTCGCGACGAGAGCGCCCCAGGGGGCCCAGGACGCCTGAACATGCTCCTGGCAAAAGGACCGAACGGTATGCAGGACTCCGTATCGCAAGGCAGGCATGGAGAACGTGGGGGGACTTCTTATGGGGCCACGAAGCGTGTGACAAGTGTGCCAAAGTGTGGTGGGGCCGCCATGCGGGCGCTGCCATTGGGGCCGTCGGTGGGACTCTGTATTCGATGGGGCCACGAAACCTGTGAGGGGTGTGTCGAAATCGAGGGGGGGGGGGGGGGCGCAACGCGGGCGCTGCTGTTGTGGCCTTCGGTGGGTATCCCAACGGGGCCACGAATCCTATGCCAAAATGGGGCGGGGCCGCCATGTGGGGGTTGCCATTGGAGCTTTCGGAGCTTTCGGTGGAACTCCCCGTGGGCCCACAAAGCGTGTGAGAAGTGAACGGAAATGGGGCGGGGCCGCCACGCGAACGCTGCCTCTGGGGCCGCCGGTAGAATTCCCTATGCGGTCACGAGACGTGTGATGGGTGCATGCGGAAGGCGGCGGCCTGGGCGGGAGACGGGAGGTGGAAGAGGAGGAGGACAACGCAGAGGAGAAGGAAGGAGAGGAGGGGGAGGAGGAGGAGGGGGAGGAGGAGGAGGAGGAACAGGAGGATAATCAGGAGGATAATAACTAAGAGGAGAAGAGAGGAGAGGAGAGGAAAGGAGCGGATAGGCGAGGCGAGGAGAAGAGAAGAGAACCGAGGGGTTGCTGCTGATGAGGAAGAAGACGGGGAAGGACAAACGAGGAGGGAAGGGGAGAGGAGAGGAAAGAAAATGGAAGGAGGGAAGCGGAAACGAGGAGAAGGAGGACGAGGAGGAGGGGGAGGGGAAGGAGGAGAAGGAGGAGAGGAAATGGAAGGAGAGGGAAGGAGTGGAGAGGAAAACAGAGGAGAGGAGAGGAGAAGAGACGCGAGGAGCGGAGAGGAAAGGAAAGAAGAGGAGAGGAAAGGAGAGGAGGAGACGCGAGGTGCTGCTGTTTGAAAACAAGGACCCAGCACAACACGATGGTTGGGCAACCATGGAAAGTCCATCCTCGAACGATCGCCAGCGCCCGTCCAGCCAAACAAACGAAACGGTCGCGAACCGGAAACGACTAGAACGTCACAGCCCTGCCATGCTGCAAAATGCCCACCCAAGCGGAACGCCGTAATCTAACACGCCCCCCGCCCTCGGCTGATAAGGCACATGTGAAGACGGGTGAAGCATAAAAATGGCGACTGGGCAACGGAAAATGGCGACTGCACTATCAGAAGCTCTGAGACGCCCTGTGGCGACTCTAACTGCGTAGACGCAAGCCAGGACTCCATACCAGCACGTGAAAGTGTGAAACGGATGCGGTTAACGCAGAACTGGTGCAAGCAGACGGCGACCATGCTATGGGCGCATGAGTGCAAGGGGCTTCTTAACACGAGATACGCAATTTAAAACGTCGCAAAGGCACCAAGCTCCGCACAATGATGCACAGATATCGGCGCGTAGGTCGTAAATCGCGCAGGCGGCCAACTGGACACCCCTAGACGCTGAGCCCAAGTCTCCGTCAAAACGGCACGCGATGATAACCTGGACGCGCTTCAAGCTAACGCTCAAGGGCGCCAGCTGCGTCTTCCCTTAACAAGATGTTGAATGGTACCTCGCATATGCATGGGCATGCTGCCACTGCTCACCTATTCAGTCAGAGCTGCAAAATTCTCACGAGTTCCTACCTTGACCCCATTGGTAAACAAAGCTGTCAGACCTCGACGTGTCTGACTTTGTCCAAATCCTCGCCTGCCAACACTGGTTTCAGCCGCGCCGCATCGCTCTTTAACGAGATGCCACAATCAACATTGAGGTCTTCTGCATGTAGCCCGAACGCGACTGAGCCACCTTTTCCATTCCGCAGTACCCAAAGTCTCCAGAAAACAACGCCACTACTCTCTGAGTCGAAACCCGCGACTTTATCACATGAGATTCCCGCCTCGCTTCCTCCGCTCGTTGACTTACGCGTTTCCTTGCAATCAGCCTGGGCGGTGTCAGTCCAGACGATTAACTCCATACGACGCTCTTGATACAGATGCTGATGCCCACGCCTACCGTTTTCCTTGAGGTACTTACCCAAAATAACATGGCTTGCCCATGCCCTTCGGGTTGGAGCTGACATAGAGCGCGCAAACTCCTGGCTGCAAATCCGCGGTCTCGCGCCCGTTCATTTCCAAAACATTGCACTTCTTGCTTTCGCGGCTTGGCAGGGGCCCCATCATCCTTTCCCGCTCCGAAAGCCTGCTTTTCACCCCGCATCTCACGTCTCGCATTGTAGTGACCCAGGCCAGACGCTTCAACGACAAATTACCCCCACATGCCTCTGACTCCACTTCACACCATAACCAATCCCGAATTCATTCTGCGATTCGGTTGAACATCCGAATTTACATCAAATTGCTTGGCCCTGGCCCGAGTCCGCGCCTGGGCTTAAAACCGAATTCTGCTCGAAAGCTCCATTGGACCAGTCGAGATCAAGACCATTACCCAATCAGAAGTCGCATCCATGAGCAGTTAACCAGATCCCCCGCGTGACACGTTAAAACCACATGCCGGTGCTCTCAAGTTACCCAAACGAGCCTCGCGCGCACGCCCAACGCGGCAATCTCCCCAATTGGCAGAAACGTCCCAAACGCCGCACATTAATTTAAGCCGTCTTCCGCACATGCAGAAGTCACGGTCTTCGTCGGGTAGCCGGATGACGATGCGATTTGGCCGCGGCGCATAAAATCCATAGGAGCCTTTTTTACATGGAAACACGTAGGACTCAAGCAGAACGCCGGCGGGCGTTAGGCAAGTCAAACGCAAAGCTTGCGGAAAAGCCAAGAATAGAACGTCACAGACCTGCTACACTGCATACTGCTCACGCAGTCAGCACGCCATGATCCAACACCTCCTCCTCCTCCTTCTCCTCCGCCGCCTCTCATAATCATCATCAGCATCATCAGCATCATCATCATCACTATCACCACCAGCACCACCACTATCACAATTAACATCACAAGCATCATCATCATCATCAGCAGCATCATCGCAAGCATCATCAACATTATCATCATCATGATCATGATCATCATCCACCTCCACCTCCACTTTCTCCTACTCCTCCCGTCCTGAGTGGTTGTTCCCGCAGGCCGCGGCGGTGCCGTTGCTCCTGAGGAGGACGGTGTGGCCGAAGCCCGCGGCGACCTGCCAGGGCAGGTGCCGCGAAGCACGCGGAACGGAGCACACCACCGCACCTCCTTCCCCCCATCAAGGGAGGAGGGAGGAGGTGATGATGATGATGATGATGATGATGATGATGATGATGATGGTGTTGCTGATGATGATGACGGTAATGATCATGGAGATGATGCAACTAGTGGTGATGATGATGATTTAAGCTGGTGATGCAGATGATGATGATGACGACGATGATGATAGTGGTGATTGCATGGAAGGGTGATGATGGTGATGACGATGATGATGGTGCTGATGATATGGCATTGCAGCTTATGATGATGTTGTTGGTGGATATGGTGACGCCGCTTGTGATGCGAGTGATGAAGGTAGTGCGGGTGATGATGATTGTGTTGCTGATGTTGACGTTGATGGTGATGGGAACGCTGATGCTATTGCTGATGATGGTGTTGATGATATGCTGCAGATGATGATGGTGTTGACGAGAATGACGGCGGTGACGCTATTATATGATGCTGGCAATCGTGATGGTGATGCTGGACATGATGATGCTGAACCCGACGATCACGATGATGGTGACGCGGATGATGATGGTGATGATGATGATGACGATCATAATGATGGTGATCATGATGATGATGATGATGATGATAATGATGATGATGATGATGATGGTGATGCTGACGGCGATGGTGGGATGGTGATGCTGGTGATGGTGACGATGTTGCTAATAATGGGTGCGTTGATGATGATGACGATGATGATGATTATGGTGATGAGTATGATCATGATCATGATCATGATCGTGATCACGATCGTGGTCCTGATGATGGTATGAATGGTGATGATGGTGGTGGTGGTGATGATGGTGGTGATGACGGTGTGGTGATGGCGGAGGCGATGGCGACAATTCTGATGATGATGAAGATGGTGGTGTTGATGATGATGAGGATGATGAGGATGATGATGATGATGATGGTGGTGATGGTGATGGTGCGGTGATGGTTATACTGATGGCGATGCTCATCATCACACTTGTCGTCAACAACAGTGCCACATCATCGAGACAAGGATTCATCCATGACCACCGCCCTCGGCAGGCGGTGAACATGGACATACATGGCTCCACCAGGGTCCGACAACACATGTATATACATACATATAGATGTATACATGTCTATATATATACACATATATATATATATCGATCCAGAACCACCGCCCGCAGAAGTCCTCGAGGATGGATCCCCCAGGCGATGGTCATTGATAGATCCCCGCCTCGGAGGGGGAATGATGGAGGTGGCGTCCCAGAGAGAAGGCGGGGAGGAGAGGGAGTAGGGAGAGGGGGGGAGACGAGAGCACCCTACATCCTTGACATCCTCGCGTCGTGACAAAAAATCATGAAGCAAGGCTTTGGCAGTTGTCCGTTTCTGAGGGACCTCGGCGGGCCCTGGGCCGTCGAAAACGGCGCGGGATGAAGAACTGGTCCTGGCGACGAGATCGAGACCCATGGCGAGCCACGCTTCGAAAACAGGGACAACATTACCCCCAGCTAGGCACCCCGATAGCAGCAAAGGTGCTGATCACGATCGTGATCCTGATTAGCTGGCCGTGGTGATCATGGCGACTCTGCCTCGCAAAGGACGGCAGTCCGCGCGCGGCACGTGGAACCTGGAACAACTAGCGCAGCAGACTCGCGCGAGGCGTGGCGCCGCAGCAGCCTGTGTAGCGCCACGGGGTGGGCGACGATGATGGCGTTGGGATCAACCAGGATATGGCCGTGCAGAACTGCCCAAACTTGCAACAGCTCAGCGTGGAAGAACTCCCTGCAGTCCCTGGCCCAGTGGCAGCTCAACACTGGCATCAGAGAAGATCTGCCACGACCGGTGGCCGCCGCGGGCTGACCAACAACGCGGTCTCCTCGTCCGCCCTCCTCCGCCACGGTGCTCGCCCGCGGGGCCTCGTCGAAGACCACGCCTGGCCGCGATCTTCTCCGTCGCCCACGCCTCCTGGGCGAAATTGGGCTGAGACGAAGTGACCCGCTAAGGGGCCACATGCGAACCCCACCCCTACCCCCCACGATTTCCCGAGCAAAGTGGACCCCACCCTACCCCTCAGAAATCGTTGGGGGTGGAGGTAGGGTTCGCATGTGGCCCCCTACCCGCCTCCTCCGCCCCCATGCAGGTTCTGGTGCGCACCCTCGAGCTCTGCGCTCACCATGCACGCGGCACCATCGGAGGAACAAGACACGGCATACATAGAACTACACTTCTTGACGGTCCGCGCGGAGTTCGCGGATTTGCGCTGGGAGCCCCCCTCCCTGGCGGCGCCCACCAAAAATTATGACATGTTTTTTGCTCCGCCGAATTGAACAACGCCTCTTTTGTATTTCACGCAGGTGAGCATTTTTTGTTATTCGGCGTTTCGACATCGGACGGAAAGGGGGGAGGTCTGGCTCCAGACCTCTGCTTAGTGCGATTGTTTGCAAGAGAACGTCCTCTGGGGAAGACTCCACCCGCTCGAAACAGGCGCCCACAAATAGCCAAGATCTACTCCATGGGGGGGAGGGGGATGGGGGTTGGGGGCCCGCGCCGATCGGCAAAACACTGAATAAAAAAAGATCACCAGGCTGGCGCGATGACGGCCGTCTCGACTCTGCGCCGGTTTGGCGGCGACCTACCTCACAAGGCCTCTGTTTCCGCCACGGCCTCGGCGTGCACAGCCTTTTGGCCCTTTTGGGTCGGCCGCCGCGGGCCCGCCGGGACCGCGGTCGACCGTCGACCCCCTGCGCGGACGAGGGCGGCAGGAAACGGACATTTTAACACAGGTCCACCTCCTTCCTCCTCCCTCGACCCCTCCTCCCGTGATTGATTTTTCCTCCTTCCTCGGAGAGGCGAGGGGGGAGGAACGAGGCGGGTCTGTACAGCGGAGACCCGACCACACGAAACCTTCCACAAGAAACCCCACCCGGAGACCCCAGGACGTCTATTGACTTGTGATGCGGGAGCGTCACGCTCCCCGTCGCAGAGCCATGGCAAGACCATCGACGCCAAAGAGGCCCAGGGCACCCCAGAGGCAAGCAGGGTGCCTCTCGACAGGGCCCCCCCCCCCTGCAGCGCTGTCCTCCTCCGAGACCGCGGCCGCGGCGTCCGCCCGTGGGCCCGCGCGCGCAGCGCTGCGCGCGGGGCCGCGGCCCTGCGCCCGCGGAGGCCGAGGCGAGGCAGCGGGGCGGCGCCGCGAGGCGGCGCCGCGAGGAGGCCGAAGCCGAGGCCCGATCCGCCGCGGCCACGGCCGGAGCCCGGCCCGCTGCTCGGCGGGCGAGGCCCCGTGGCGAGCAGGGTCCGAGCGGCCCGAGGACTATCCGGGAGGGTCTCCTCTGCCCATCGGCCCTGGTCTTGGCCCTCCTGGCCTCGGCCGAGGGCTCCTCCCCGGCCTCGTGAGCCCGCGCCCACGGAGGCGGCGCGGCGCCGGCACCTTGGCGTCAGCACGTGGCGGTAGCACCGGCATTTGGGCTTTAGCACGTGGCCCTGGCGGCATCAGCAGCTTAGGGGTAAGCTTGGTGGTCTGCAGTCACGCAAGGCGCGGCGGGCGCAATGGCGGCTGCGGCCTCATGCCACAAGGCTTGCAGGCTGAGGAGCGTTGCTGTCGGGCCCCTCCTGGATCGCCACCAGGGTACCAGGCGAAAAGGTTTCTGTGGCCCTACATTGCGAAGAAGTCTCCGGCGAGACTGCGAGCGTGGTTCTCTCTAAAATGTGGGGAAATCTCCGGGGAAACTGCGCCTCCAGGAGTCTGATCTCACGGCTCTCCCCGTCCCTGGTGTGGGACTTCTGTCTGTGGTGCTTCTTGACCACTGCTAAGACCCTTTCCGCACTTGCTACCAAGGACAAACGCCAACGTCGGACGTTTGGGATGCACTGGGAGTCGGCCTTATCGAAAAGCGGGCGGGAAGCCTGAGCGAGGCTCAGAAGGAGCTCGCTCGGCCGGGCCACTTCGCCGCCGCTTCCGGAAGAATCCCTCGGACATCGAAGCTGTAAAGACACGGCGACCAGAAACTGCGAAAAAATGGCTCCGGGATGGGAGCCAGGACCGGAATCGGCAAAATAACGGCGACAAGACCGGGGAAAAAACAGAGCTGGGACTGGCAAAGGAACGGAAGAACGGAATCAGCAAAGAAACGGCCCTGTCGTTTCCAGGGCCAACGAAGCTCAAATTCGTTAGTCAAGGCCGTGCTCGGCGACAGCAAGACCGAAAAACGACCGAACCGACAGCGAAATCAAAACCGACCGAAATCGGCAGGCCGGAAGCAGCCTGGAAGGGCGCAGAGACGCGGCAACGACACAATATGACCGACCGAACCGAAACGACCAAACGCAACCGACGCAACCGACCGCGTCGCAGCCAAATCGACCGAGCAGCGAACACCCTTGCAAATCCAGGTGTTGCTTTTCAGGGAGGATGGTGGTGTCTCCTCCGTCCTCCTCCTCCTGTCCCCCCTCCTCGGTCCCGCGCACTCACCCGCGCGCGCGGGCCTGGCGAGAGGGGGACTCCTTGTCTGAGAGGGGGGAGGGAGAGGGAGGGAGAGGGAGGGAGGGCGAGGGCGGCGGAGGCGCAGCGAGAGGGAGAGCAGGGACAGGAACGGGAAGAGGAGGAGGAGGAGGTCCGAAAGCGTGGGCGAAGGGGCAGTGGAGGCAGGAGGAGGAGAGGGAGAAGACGAGGCAGGCAGCGGAGTGGGAGGAGGGACGGGGAGAGAAGGAGCAGAAGGGGTCGGAGAGGAACGAGGGGAGGAACGAGGAAGGAGGAAGGAGAGAAGCGGCGATGAGGAACGAGGAAGGAGAGAAGGAAGAGGAACGAGGAGGAGAGGAACGAGGAAGGAGAGAGGGGGAGGAAGGAACGAGGAAGGAACGAGGAACGAGGAACGAGGAAGGAGGAAGGAGAGAAGCGGCGATGAGGAGTGGAGCGACGGTGGAGGACGAGGAAGCCTTCGTAACGCAGATTTCAGAGCCCTGACCTGCGTGTAAGCGACACCTCCGCTCACAGCAGGGATCTCGCACTGCCCAAACCTGTTGCAGCCGAAGGCCACGGCTGTACCATCGCTCCGCAGCAGGGCGGTGTGCCGGAAGCCTGCGGCCGCCATTCTCCAGAGCAGGTGATCAGAAATGGTGTAAGCAGAATCTCAGACGGGCCTGGAAGAGGGCACATCCTGGAGAGGCCTTAGCTTGAGCAGGAAACGAGGAAGCCTCCTCCTACACCACCCCCATCCTCCTCCAAGTTGCGGGTGCGACATGTGTACACACACAAACAGATGTGTACATGTATGTATACATATATATATATATATATATATACATATATATATATATATGTATGTGTACGTGTGTGGATACCTTCACCTGCAGAAATGCATCTACACATACACCAGCCGCACGGAGGGCACAAACTCAGAGAAATCGCGTCATCGTGGCGACGCAGGTGCGTGTAGATCTACAGTTATGCATGTGTATGAATATCACACAAAGAAGAAAATAACCGACCAAACAAACAAACATGCATGATCATATGCATACATACATGTATGCATACATGCATGCATGCATGCATGCATGCATGCATGCATGCATACATACATGCAGACAGACAGACAGACAGACAGACAGACAGACAGACAGACGGACAGACAGACAGAATCCAGCTGAAACGCTTGGCGGGGCGCACTTCCCCCTCCTCCCCCTTCCGTCACCCCCTCTCCCCCTAGCACACAAATGGGAACTCAGAGCCCAAGACCAGCCCTGACTGGCGGCTGTTGCATCTGGCGTGCAGCAGCGAGTCGGCCGACCACGTCCTGGGACTGTCTCTGCTGGACGCCAGCACGGCCCTGGACAAAAAGAGCCCTGTGGTACGCGGCTGGCCGATCGTGGCACGCCAGCCGGCAGAGCCTGGGCTTGCCTCCTCCTCCTCCTCCTCCTCATCCTTTTTCTCCTCCTCCTCATCCTTCTCCTCCTCCTCCCCTCTTCTTCCTCCTCCTCCGCCTCCTCCTCCTCCTCCTCGTCCTCGTCCTCCCCCTCGGCGCACGGGAGGTCACTCAGGCGAAGGGTCACTCGCTCTTACGCGTAGCCTTAGGTCGGGCCTGTCCCACTGCAGGGGGATTGTGGACGAACAATCAAAAATAGCCCCACACAAAATCAAAAATGCTGAAAACAAGTCGTCCCCAGACTACTGTTTGACTATTTTTGAGTTTTCCTCCTGTAGAGGGACAGGTCCGACTTCAGCGTAGCCGACCAATTCCTGGGCGCCGCTGCTTCGTTGCTTGCCCGGCCCAGGGTGAAAGGTTCGGGGAGGTCGCGGCTCGAGCCCGCCATTCGCCTGGCGAGGGCGCGCCCTGGGGCTGCCTCAGACAAGCGGTGAGGAACATGACGATGTGCGAGATCCAAGCTCCTCAAGCGAGTGCATCTCAGCTCCGCCACGAAGCATCCACGGATCTGGCATCCCTCGGCCAAGGCACAGTGCCAGATCCGCAATGGCAAATGAATACATGAGCACTACCCGCCGACTCCGACCCCCCTGGGAAAAAAAACCCAGAAGACAAACATGCTGACGCTGGGAAAACCAAAAGGTACCGATACAGCTACTCCCTGGACCTCTCCCAGGGTGCGTTCTAACCAAGATTTCGAAAAGAATCCAGCGGTGCCGACGAGGGCGTTCCAGGAGGCCAGAAAAAGGGAAAACGGGGGTTCTTCCTCTGAGGCGCATCCCTTTCACTTCCGCGGCCTTCCGCCGGCGCAACTGGCGCCGCTCTACCTCCGCCGGCTTCCCCTGGCAATGCGCCGACCCCTCGCAGGGCGGGACCCCTTCGGGAGCGCCGTTCCGCCTCTGGAGCCGAGGCGGCAGCGGCATCATCGGAAAGGTGAAAATCAAAAGGTACCGATACCGCTGCGGCCAGACCTAGGACAGAAGAATATCCTTCAAGAACATGAAACCCTCCACTGGCCAAGCTGATGAACATTCGAAGGTACCCGACCCCAGGATGCACAAGAACATCCAACAAGCACGAAGAGCATCAGGGTGTATCCTCCTCGAACTGGCCCCAGTCTTATACCTCGGATCGACCATGCTCCCTGGACCTCTGTAGGGGTGCGTTCTGACCAGCATGTCGAGGCGAATCTAGCGATAGCGACGAGGGCCACCCAGGAGGCCCCAGAAAAGCAACAACGAGGGACGGAGACAGCGGCACCGGTAACTTCACAGACATGCGACGTCTGGCTTTTTTCCGACACGTGGACTTCTGACCCATTCCGCGGGACCGTTTCTTCATCCTGCTTCGTTTTTCGATGGTCCTGGGGCCTGGCGAGGGACCCCAGAGGCCGAAATTGGGCAACACCCTTCCGTCGTGATTGTGTGCACGACGCGAGCATGTCTGGGCGTTCTGCCTCGGAGGGCAAACGCGCGCGCCGAGCGCAAACCAAACAAAAAACAGATGCTGCAGGCAGCGGGCGCCAGTGGACGCTAGGGCGGAGGAGCGCGGGCTAAAGATCAGGGGGGGGCCCGCGCGGCCGCGATGGGACACCGTCGAAGTTGCTGCGAGGGCATGCTCTGCTTTGGTCGCGGATGAGGAGCGCACCCCTACCCCAATCGACGGATTTACTTGTGAGGAAAATGCTGGAAGCCTCGCGCGGCAACTTGAGACCCAATTTACATAGAATGTACGTCGAGTTCACGTCGGATTACATCGGATTTACGTCGGATGCACGTCGCACTCACGTTGGACTTACGCCAGAGCATCGCCGCGCGAACGTCGACCCACATCCTACGGAGCGGACATGCGGTCTAAATAATATAACAATAGCGCGCCGCGCGAGGTCTCCATGATTTCCCTCATAAATTCGCGTTCGTTTTTTTGTTTGTGAAAGCCCATCTTAGTCAAGATGATGGCGGACTGGCGGCACATAGCGGCAGACAGCGGCAGCGGACCAGAAGCAACTAGCGCACCCCCCCCCGAGCCAGGCGACAGAATCAAATGATGACGAAGAACGTTCGGTGGCATTCAAGGCATCCCTTATTATTTTGTTCGTTTGACGCTGACCCGACCGGATGACCCCGCAGCAGCGAGACAGAGGCAGAGGAGAGAGGGCAGGGAGAAGCCGAGGGCGGTCCCGCGGGAAACAGGCCCTGGGACCCGAGGCTCACCCCCCACGGGCCAGCTTGTCGTCCGTTTCGGTTTGAAGCTGACCTGACCTGACGACCCCGCAGCAGCGAGACAGAGGCAGAGGAGAGAGGGCAGGCAGGCGCAGCGACAAGATCCAGGAGGCACGCTGCTCGCAGCGAAGGGAGAGGGCGGTGCCGCGGGAAACGGGCCCTGGGCCCCAAGGCTCTCCCCCGGGACCAGCTCGTCCTCCCGGGTATTTGTCTTTGGCGGCCACCCATAAGCCCGCGAAGGGCATCCGAAAAGGTAGGCGAAACACCTGTCCAGAGTCACCAGTGATGCTGAGAGGGCGCTGGAGGAACGACGCCCCCCCCGCCTCCCTCCACATCCTTCTCCTCCTCCTCCTCCTCATCAGCATCAGCATCAGCATCAGCATCCACATCAGCATCAGCATCAGCATCATCATCAGCATCAGCATCAGCATCAGCATCAGCATCAGCATCATCACCATCACCATCACCATCACCATCATCATCATCATCATCATCATCATCATCATCATCATCATCATCATCATCATCATCATCATCATCATCATCATCATCATCATCATCATCATCATCATCATCATCATCATCATCATCATCATCATCATCATCATCATCATCATCATCATCATCATCATCATCCCCCTCCTCCCCCTCCTCCCCCTCCTCCTCCTCTTCCTCCCCCTCCTCCTCCTCCTCATCATCCTCCTCGCGACGATTCGGCAGTGGCAGAAAAGAAACCGCGGGAGCACCAGGCCCCTGCGGAACTGAAAGAGATCGACGCGAGCGCAGCAGCGCAGCAGGGGCAGCGAGAGATCTGCACAGATCTACTGCCCCAGACTTGGCCCGTCCTGGGCCTGGGGGAGGTGTGCAGATGCCTCCCTGGCCAAACCTTCTGCTGCATCCTCGGGGGGCCTTGTCTGTCCCGTCGCGGCCCTATCCGCGTCGAATCCGCGTCGAATCCACGCTAATCCGCGTCGAGTCCGCATCGAGCCCCTGTCGGCCGCGTCGGGCACAGTAAAAGACACGAAGTTTGCGGACAGGCGAGGCCCCCCGAAGATGCAACGTAACAGGCCATGAAGGCGTATGCACCGCTCCTGGGCCCAAGATGGGGCAGGCTGGGCGCAGCGGATGTGTGCAAATCCCGTGACCCCGCACGGGCGGCCCAACAATCCCATCCTGCTTGGCGGCGCGGGCCAGCAGCTTGTGCATGGTCCGCGCTGTCTGCCTCGGCGGAGCGCAGACAGGGCAGGGGTAGCTCGACCGGGCTGGCCCGAGCAGCGGCAGCTGAGCACTCGTCGCACCCCCTGGGGCAGCAGCTCGCCCTGCAGCGGCAGGGGGACAGAGGGGCCCCATCAGCTTGGCAGACATGCAAACGACCGGGCGAACTGACCAACGAAAGAAACACCCCGTACACGTAACACACACTTGAGCAGGGACCGACCGTCCTGGCATTCCTATAGGCCTACCACGACATGTTCGTAGGACCCAAACATGTTCCCATAACAGAAACAATGTTCTTAGAACATAGACCCGACGTGCAAAAACAAGACTGTCCCAGCCAGAAATGTTCTAAGAACACTCCGTGGAAACCACGGAAGGCTCTTAGAACACTGCTTGGTACGCCTACGTGCACGCCAGGACGCTTCGCCACGGCTTGACGCACACACGCACACACGCACACACGCACACACGCACACACACGCACACACACACACACGCGCACACGCACACACGCGCACAGCTATTTGTGTCTGCGGGTCCGGCGAGCGCGCGGGCCGGTTGAGCAGCTCAGGGGCGCCGAGCAACGAGCTCGGCCCATCCAGGGGCGCGGCGCGAGAAGCAGGGCGGAGCGGCCGCGAGGGGGAGGAGCTCAGGCCGTGCGGGGGTCCTCGCCAGCGTGCCGCGGCCCGGGCCGCGGCAGGGTCACGGGCACGGGACAAAGTCGTC